ATAATATTTACAATTTGCTAATTTGAATGAGTTGGTATTTCCAAAGATAGTTAAGTTAGTCCCATCCCCCAGGCTACGACGGTTTTTACTGATGGTTCTTCTAATGGACACGCAGTTTATGTGATTTATGGGTAAAGTCATTCTTTTCAAACTTCCCCTGCTTCAGCACAGGTAGTGGAACCGCACAGTAGCTGCAGTGTTCCAGCTTCTGACCTCAACACCCTTCAATCTCTATACAGATAGTCATTATGTAGATCAAGCTCTACAGGAAATTGAAACAGTACCTTTTATTGAAACAAGAAATGTTCAAATTTGTTTACTGTTAAGACAAGTGCAAAATAGTATTAAATCTAGAAAATATCCTTGCTATATAGGACATCTCAGAGCGCATAGTGGTCTTCCTGGGCCACTAGCTTTGGGAAATGCCTTGGCAGATGAAGCCACTCAGCTTATAGGATTGACTCAGGTAGAGCAAGCTACAAATTCTCATGCCATTCATCACCAAAATAGCCAAAGTTTGAGAAAACAATTTCATAAGTCAGGTGGAAGGATCCTTTAACTGGACAATGGAATGGCCCTGACCCTGTATTAATTTGGAGAAGAGGGCATGTTTGTGTTTTTCCACAGGATGTTGATGGAGCCAGGTGGCTGCCAGAAAGGCTGGTGAGGTTTGCCGGACAAGCACCAAAGAAAAAAGTAGAAAAGAATGATGAGGAGACAAACATGGCTGATGATGTTCCCGCAAGTGATCTTGGCTGAGTTATGCTGGACTTATGTTCCTGATCCACAATATTGCACCCCGTGATATGGGAGAAAAAAGAGATAGTAGTGACTGTGAATGACTCTTGGTTAATTGCTCAGCCTGCTTCAAAATGCCTGATGATTATTTTGGATTGGGAAGTGGGTTGCCTATTTTGTTAAAAATAAGTGTGCTTGTGGGACAAAGTGGATATTGTATCAATGTCAACGTGTTATTGCCAAGAGATAATAGAAAAAACAAAAATTTTCCCAACATTTCTACCCTGTAAACAGCGGCAGATATTCTAAAAAGGCTGAAAGCCTCCTTACATGCTTTTCCTCCTCTTTGTTTTCACCTGGTGGCAGTAAAGTTGTTTATGCCTGTGGCAAGTCAAGGCAGCTGTGCATGATATGAGATTGCGCTCCCTCCCCTAACAGAGGCCGGTAGTCAAAGATGGGTAAGATCTTCTGGGACAAAGTCAACCTAAGACAGGGCATAGCTGATGGAATCTACGTGCCGATGACGGGTAAGGCTTTGCTCTGGCAGAAGACAACCTAAGGCAGGCACGGTCCTTCTGTCCCAGATATGGCATAATCTGGGGTTTTAAAATTAAATAAGGAAGGGGGAGATGTCGGGAGCCGCTAATCATTGAGCTGCAGCAGCCTCATTTACTGAGTTTGTGTCATGCAAACCAGTACTTAACCTGCCCATTCAGGAGGAAGGTGTTTCTGGAGACCCTCACAATACCTGACCTTGAGGCATTAGTGGTAAACAAAAGAGAAGGCTTTGATCTGACTGCTCCCTGACCCTCAGATACAGGTGGGGAAATACAGCAATTGTAACTAATTGAGTTCTTCTGTATAAAAAGACAGAACTGAAATAAATCGAGGCTGCAGTATTCACTGTGATCCCTTCCAAGCGTCATCTTTTCTGTCTCCTTTCTTTCAATCCTCACTCCCCCTTTCACGTACTGTCCGTTTTGGCCGGCTGGCACCAGCACCCCAGCTGTCCTGGAACTCACTATGTAGATCAGGCTGGCCTCGAACTCACAGAGATCTGCCTGCCTCTGCCTCCTGAGCACTGGGATTAAAGGCGTGCACCACCACGCCTGGCCTTCTTCCATTATTTTTATCTGGGTTCTGGGGGTTGAACTCTGGTCTTTGTACTTGAAAGGCAAGCACTTTCCTGACTGAGCCATCCTACAGTCTCCAACTCTGTTTCATGGCTGTTCTCACTGTTGGATGGCAGCTTTCACATGGGTGGGGACTCTGCCACTGTTTAGTCCCCACCTTGGTGCCTAATGGAGCAGCACCCCATGAACACTTCCCAGTGACCCCAGGCGGAGTATCCCTAATCTGCAAACCCAGTGCACCGTGCTCCAAAATGTGAAAGCTTTTTTGCAAGCACACAGTGACACAAGTGGGAGGTCCACACTGGGGCTGGAGAGATGGCTTACTGGTAAAGTGCTTGGTGTACTATCAGAAAATAATAATACATTTAAAGTCCATGCTATTTAGTACAAATTAATTTTTTTATTTTTATTTTATGTTTTGGGTGATTTGCCTGCATGTATTAAGTGCAAAGGCCAGAAGACAGCATTGGATCCCCTGGAACTGGAGTTATAGACAGTTGTTAGCTACCATGTGGGGGCCGGAAACTGAACCCAGGTCCTCTGAAACAGTCAGTGCTCTTAACCACTGAACCATCTCTCCAGCCCAGACAAAATTATTTTAAATTACATTTTTATTTATTGTATGTCTGTATGGAGGTCAGAGGACAACTGGAGGGAGTCAGTTCTCTCCTTCTACCATGTAGGTCCTGGGAGATCAATTGTCAGGCTTGGTGGCAAGCGATCTTGCTGGCCCACAAAATAAAGTGTCTCAAATTACCTTCAAGCTCTCTGTATATGAAACCAATGAACACTGTGTTTAGATTTGGGTCCTATGCCCAAGACAGCATGTGATGCATATGGAAATGTCCCCTAATCTGGTACTGGCTGGGAATCTGACATTCTGGTGCTGAGCATTTAGATAAGGGACACTCAGCTGTAATAGATTTATCCAAGCTGACCAGAAGCCTGGTCTCAGCCAGGTGCTGGATCTAACTGTAATTTTTGGTGCAAAAAACAAATTTACAGAGATATATGGGGCTCATTTAGTTGAGTCTATGATGACATTAGAAAGCAGGAGCGAGCTGGGTATGGTGGTGCACACCTTTAGTCCCAGCACTAGGGAGGCAGAGGCAGGTGGATCTCTGTGAGTTCAAAGCCAGCGGGGGCTGCATAGTGAGACCCTGTCTCAAAACAAACAAAACAACAAACAAACCAAAAAAGAAGGCAGGAGCAGCTGTTGCCCACCTAACCAGGGAACCCCCAAGACACACATGGGTAAGAAGCAGTTTTGAGACCCACACCCAACAGCCTGGTTCCCAAATGCCCCGGCTCTTTTTTCCCAGGTGATAAGTGATGGACAGTGGCCAATGGAGAGAGAGGGACTCACCTACAGAGGCAATGTCTGCCAGCTGGTCCTCAGCCTCCTCAGGATTGAGCAGGTCTGTCTTGCTTTTCTTTATAGTGGCTCTCCGAAGAGCTCCAACAATGGAAACATGGCAAGAGAAAAAGACATTACCCTTTTCTGCAAGAACAATGGCAAAGACAGAGCTCTCCTTGGCTTGGACTCCCATGACATCCAACAGCGTGCCCACCGTGCATGTGTTAAGTCAGGGCTGGGGAAGGTAAGGTCGCTTTGCTTTAGGGGGTCCAGACAACAATTCAGTCCTGTTCAGCTTGATTCCAAAGTCTGGGCTTGAAAACACAGTTTTTCCTCTGGTCTGTCTGTCTATTTATTTTTGAGACAGGGTCTTACTATGTAGCTCTGGTTGGTCTAGAACTCACTATGCAGACCAGGCCGCCCTCGAAGTCACAGAAAACCCAAGAGTTGTGATTAAAAATGTATGCCACCACACCTGGCTCTATTTTTAAATCTGGAGGAAGCATTGCCCACCCCTTGACCTGGCTCACAGTTGCTGGGCTTGCTGGGGTCAGGGACATTGCTCAGTGTGGAGGCTTGCACCCCAGTGGCTCTCCAGGGCTATAAATTCAGACATATACTGCTAACAGAGACTTAAGAGTCCCCATTCCCAAATAAAAGACCTGAGATTCTTGAATTCTTTCTGAGATTTCATTATTTTAAAATTGCTATTTTTAAAATTTTAGTTACTAAACAAAATAGGTTTAAAAAAGATTTATTTTTAATTTAAAAAAATTATGTGTATGGGCCAGGCATGGTGGTGCATGCCTTTACTCCGAGCACTTGGGAGGCAGAGGCAAGTGGAGCTCTGTGAGACAAGAGGCCAGCCTGGTCTACATAGTAAGTTCCAGGCCATCTGGGGAAGACCCTGTATCAAAAACAAACAAAATATATGTGTAGGTGTGTGTCTGTGCATGTGACTACAGTCCCTGCAGGGGCTAGTAGAGGATGTCAGTTCTCCTGAAGCACATGTTATGGGCAGCTATGAGTTGCCTGATGTAGATGCTGGAAACTGAACCTGGGTCCTGCGCAAGGGCAGGCAGTGCTCTTAATCGCAGAGTCACTTCCTTAGCCCCACAAAACAGATGCTCTGAGGACATTTTCATACTTATGTGACACAGTATTTGGCTGGTATTTGTCCTCCACTGTCTGCCCTCACACCCATTTTCATCTACTCTTTTTTGTGTGTTTGTTTCTTGGCAGTGCTGAGGACCAAACAGACTCCACATGAGTGTTCTGCCACCAGTCTTACACACTCAGTCTGGAGCTGGGGTTCTTCCTATTATTTTTTATTATTGTTGCTGTACGTATGTAAGGTACATGTGGAAGTCTGCGGATGACGTTCAGGAGTCCATTTTCTCCTTCCACCATGTGGATCCCAGGGAATGGAACGGAGGTCGTCAGACTTGGTGGCAAGCTCTCCTATCCTCTGAGCCATCTCAACAGTCCCAACACTGGAATTTCTATGAGCTCTTTTTATAACATTCTGGGACAGAATCTCAGTTCCTTTATTCCCCTGTAATCCCGGGGATTTCAATGAAAGTCATTAATCCTTATAAAAAGCTTCCTAACACCTGAGGACACAATCTGGAATGCACGGTCCCTGACTTAACAACAGACTAAATTAGGACTTTTTTTTTTTGAGACAGGGTCTCATGTAGCCCAGGCTACCCTTGACCATCTCTGATCCTACTGTCTCATCCATTTAAAAGCTTGGATTATAGTATCTTAGGTCCCCTTTGAAACAAGTCACCTGTGCCCAGGCCCCAGACACTCCTACCTCCCCTGAGACCCATGGCTGTGTTGGGTTTTGAGCAGTTACCATCAAAGGGGTGCCTCTGCTCCACATCTGTCTCGTCCTCAGCAAGGATCACCTCCTCTGGGGAAAAGAACACAGTTACGGGTCCTGCCTGGGAGGCTCTCTGGAGATTGGGGATCTGAGGAGAAATGTCCTCCTGACCACCCCCACTCTTCCTGGATAATGGTCCAATCTGACCAGACAGATTCAAGCAGCTCAGTGGCTCCTGGATCCCAACTCCAGCCAGCAATGGGTGATAGGCAGGGGCAGTAATGCAGATGGTCTGTCCCACAGCAGTGCCATAGTGTGGGACAGTGCAGCAGTGGTGGCAAGGCATTACAGAAGCTCTCATAGGCCATCTGTGGTGGTTTGAATGAGAATGTCCCCCATAGGTTCCAAGCATCTTAGTAATTTTTTTGGGGGGGGGTCTTTTTGAGACAGGGTCTTCCTGTAGCCCCAGCTATCCTGGAACTCTGTGTAGACTAGGCTGGCCTTGAACTCACAGGGATCTGCCTGCCTTTGCCTCCCAAGTGCTGGGATTAAAGGCATGAGCCACCAAGCCCAGCAAGCTCTTCCTTTTTTAAGTTCCCTTGGTCATGGTGTTTCTATCACAGCAACAGAAAAGTGACTAATGCATCATCTGGGCCCATTTTCTGTCCGCTGATGTGATCTCTCTCTTGCTGCTGTAAAGGAACCTTACCGTGGCCACTCTTGCTTTCTCCCCAGTTTGCACTATGACACCACAAGGTCTTCACCAAGCTGAGTCATGATGCCCCTGAACATCTGGAACTGGGAGCTCACTGCTGTGGTTTGAATTAGAAATGTCCCCCAGCCTCATGTTCAACCCTTTGTCCTCAGCTGGTAGAACTGTCTGGGAAGGCTGTGGAACCTTTATGAAGTGGACCCTTGCTGGAGGAAGTGAGTCACCGGGGGCTGTCATTGAGGATTTACAGTTTGGCCCTACTTCCTGTTCTCATTCTGCTTCCTGAGTGTGGATGCAGTGTGACCAGCCAACTTCCTGTTTCTGCCACCATGCCTTCCCTGCCATGATGGATTGATTCTATCTTTCTGGAACTGTGAGCCAATTAAAACTCTTTCTCCCTTAAGTTTCTTTTGCCAGAGTATTTTGTCACAACTACAAGAAAATAATTAAGAAATTTAGCACATGTCTTTATCAAGTTCTCCCGCCTCAGGTATTTCACTATAGTAATAAAAACTGGATTTATCTTCCCCACTCAGAATATAAGCCTTACTCCATCTGGCCTGCTGCTTACCTGTCCTCTTAGTCTCCTCTTTACTCACTTTCTCCAGTTATACCAGCTTCTGTTCTGTTTCCTTATGCTCCTGCCCCAGGGCCTTTGTACTTGCTGTTTCTTCTTCACTGACCTCCGCTGCCCTCAACATCCTCACGGCTTCAATTTCACTTCCTTTAGGTCTCTGCTCAGATTTTATTTGTTCAGGGAGACCTTCCCTGTTCACTGGGCCTTAGCTATTCCTTGTTTGCTACCCTGTCTTTTCATAGCCCAGGCCGACCCCAAACGCCGATCCTTTTGCTTCACCTCCCAAGGGCTGGAATGCCAGGGATGTGCCATCATGCCTGGTCTTGTTTACCTTCCTTATCAACATTTGGTGGGTTTGCTTTGTCTCTCACTAGAGCTATCACACCTGAAGGCAGTGATTCTCAGTGCCTGTGGCAGTGCCTGGCATGACAGGTGCCCCAGGAGTGTCTGCCAGGTGCCTGACAAACAAATACATGCCTACTGTGTGTCAGGTACTGCTCTGCATGATTTAGCTGCAGTTGGTCAGCTCTCCATACCACAGGTTCCATATCCATGAATTGAAACAGATTGAAATATTTGGATAAAAATGCATTTGTACCTGATGTGCACAGGTATCTTCCTTGTCATCATTTCCCAACAATATTGCATACAGCAACCATACACACATCGCCTACACTGCACTAGGAACTGATACACCGGAGGTGACACAGGGTCTCTGGAGGAGTGTGGAGGTTGCACAGAAATTATAGGTCATTGTAAGAGGCCTTAGCATTGACCAATTGTGATTATCTGTGGTAGGGGGTCCTAGAACCAATTGCTCAGACACCAGCAGATTATTTTTCCCATGTGTGATTTAAAATGTTGACGACAATCTCCAGTACCATGTAAACAGGGTGTAATGGCACATGCCTCTAATCCCAGCACTTGGGAGGTGACTGGCAGGAGGATCAGGAGTTTGAGGCCATCCTTGGCATGAAGGCAGGTTTGAGATAAGCCTAGGGTACATAAGACCACACACACACACACACACACACACACACAGAGAGAGAGAGAGAGAGAGAGAGAGAGAGAGAGAGAGAGCTTCATCTCAGAGTGGTTTTTCTTTTTGATGGAGTCTCACTATGTAGCCCAGGCTAGCCTCAAACTTACAATCTTCCTGTTTGAGCCTCCCAAGTGCTGGGACTGCAGGGATGTACCACCAGACCCAGCTCTATTTTGGATTCTTGCTGCTAAAATCTGGAACTAGCAATTTGACTACTCTTTCTCCTCCCACCCCCACCTTCGTCCCCCTTCTTCAAATTATATGCATCTTCTGTGAGATGTCCCCTCCTGGGCCCCCTGGATGAAAGGACCTCACCTGCTTTTGATATCCACTCCATGTACCCATTGAGCTCTCGTTCAATCTGCTGCTGTCTTCTCAGTTTCAGAAAAGCCCTCCGATTCTCCACACGCTCCCTTTCTTTGGCAAACTCCCTGCAGAAACACAGGAAGCGGTCGGACTGAGGCTAGGGCTGGGGCTCATTTGGTCAAATGCTGGCTTAGTATGCACAGATCCCTCCCTGGGTTCTATCCTCGGTGAAGCATAAACCGGTGTAGTGACTCATGCCTGTTATCCTAGAACTTGGGAAGTGAAGGCAGGAGGCTCAGAAGTTCAAGGTCATCCTTGGCTATTTTGAGACCATTCTGGACTACATGAGAAGCTGTCTTAATAACAGACTAAAAACATGTTCTCCTGTCCACCCCCCCCAATGAAAAAGCAAAAACAAAACTAGAGTCTGTTGTTAGGAAAACATTTAAGGCCCATGTGTGTTTGGGTGTTCATGTGGAGGAGGGCAGGGCTTCCCGACACAAGCTAGTTCTTGAGGGGATGCTAATCTCACAAGGCTGGGGATTTCTGCCAGCACGTACAGCACCAACATCTCCATCTACCTAAGAAGAGCAAGTGCACAGACCAGTCTTGCCGACTACTGCGCGTTCCCTCTCCGCGTCCTGACACTCCCACTAACAAGTATTTGTACCCTGTCTTGTCCTTCAGCAGACCTCCTTCTCAAATTTAGGCCTAGCCTCTGTTTCTCTTCTTCCTTTTCCTGTTTTGGATGGTGAGAAGGCCATCTTGTGAGTATGAGGCAGCCATCCTGTGATCATTAGGCAACCATCTTGAGACATGAACTATCTGCCAGGCTGGACTCTTAGGTGAGGATGTCAGAACAGAAACCTAAAGAATCTGGAGTTGCTGTTAGCAGCATGGAGCGATCATAAGAGCACTGAGGCTTCTTTGGTGAGAAATCTAAAGTCTATTTATAATTAAATTTTAAAAAGTAATCGGGGGGGGCCTGGAGAGATGGCTCAGTGGTTAAAAGCACTGGCTGCTCTTGCAGAGGACAGGTTTGATTCCCAGCACTCACATGGTGGCTAACAACTGCCCATAACTTCAGTTCCAGGGAGTCCTGATACCCTCTTCTGACCTCCAAGGGCAATGCACAACACAGGTACATTGTACGTGCAGGCAATACGCTCATACTCATAAAATAAAAATAATAAATAAAATACATTAAAAATTAATTTAGGGGACTTGCCATTTGTGTTAGAAAAATGCAATTGGGGGGGGGCTCTTTTTGAGACAGGGTCTCTCTGTAGCCCCAGCTGGCATAGAACTCACTATATAGACCAGGCTAACCTTGAACTCATAGAGATCCGCCTGCCTCTGTGTACCAAGTGCTGGGATTAAAGGCGTGTGCCACCAGGCCTGGCAGGAAAATGTATTTTTAAAAAAGATTTATATTTTGTTCTTTTTTATGTGTATGTGTGTGAGCATGAAACTATGCCATATATGTGTGGATGCCCACAGAGTCCAGAAAGGGTATCAGATCCTCTGGAGCCTGAGATAAAGGTGACCATGAGCTGCCCAATGTGAGCGCTTGGAACCAAACTTGAGTCTTCTGGAAGAAGTTGCTCTTAACTGCTGAGTCATCTCTCCAGCCCCAAGGAAATGCATTGTTTTAATTGTATGCTATGTATTTTGTTGTTGTTTGATTTTGCTGAGACAGGGTTTTACTCTGTAGCCCAGGTTGGCCTGGGACTCACTATGTAGTCAATTTGTGGCCATCCACCAGGCTTAGCTTCCTGAATGCTGGGATGATAATGTGAGTCACCACACATAGCTTTGTAGCTTATTAGTTTATTTATTTATGTCTTTATTTTTAAGATAGGTTTTTTTCCTTATTGTTCCAAAGCCCAGGCTGGCCTGGAACTTGATCATTTTGTCTCAGCCACCTAAGTGCTGAGGTCTGACATGTGCCAGTACACTAAGTTCTGTATGCCATGATTATTTTGAAAACAGGAGAGAAGGAACACAAATTATTGTTTCTATAAAAATAAATAGATTTAAAAAAAAACAGATGGGGCTGGAGAGATGGCTCAGTGGTTGAGAACACTGACTGCTCTTGCAGAGGACCCAGGCTCGATTCCTAGCATCCACATGGTGACTTAACAACCGTTCAAAACTCCAGTTCCAGAGGATCTGACACCGTCTTCTAGTTTCTGGTGCACATGCATGCAGGCAAAACACTCATATACATAAAATAAAACAAAAACAAACAAACAGAAACTCAAAACAGAGAAGAAAACCCATCAGGACTTCCTCAGTGGCTGCCCCTATGCAGCTGTGCATGGCTTTTTATGGCTGACTGAAATCCAGGAAAGACATTCACAAGAGTGGGATGGAGGGTGGAATAGCAGAGACTTACCCAGACAGCACACCGAGCACGAGATTCAGCATAAAAAAGGAGCCGATGATGATGAGGGGGATGAAGTACAACCAGTTCCAAGTGTTCCCTGAGGCATCATTGCTCTGCAGAGTGCAAAGAGGGAAAGCATGTGAGATCTGAGTGGGATGCATGTGAAACTGTCAGGCAGGTCAGTAGGATTAGCTCCAGGCCTCCTGTGATTCTGTCTCAATTGTTCTTGACCTGTGTAGTCCCAGTGAGGGGAATGGAGAGTGAGCTTACGTCCCTCTGGGGAAGATCACAGAGGGATCACCAGAGGGGCACAGTTCCCTCTTATCCCACACAGTCCTCAAGATACCTAGGAGCTAAGATGACTCCTAAGAGGGCTTTTGAGACCTGAGTCTGGAAGGAGAAGTGAGAACAACAACCATCACCAGTAAACAACCACCAAAATGGAGAAAAGAATCCTTGGTTTCCATACTTCCCTACAGTCACCATCGCCCCTTAGAGGATGTGATGGCCTGGTGATTCACCAATTCGGATGGCAGAGCCACAAGCCCTTCTCTCAAGCATCTCCTCCACTCCTGGAGCTTTGATGAAAATCAAAAAACAAAACAAAATAACAACAGAACAAAACAAAACACAGAAACAGCCCTTTCCACACTACAACAAAACCTCCCAGATGTGCCTGGCTAATTCTCCGGGGAGGGGGAGGGGTGTCCACAAATAGAATACTCTTAAAATAGAAACCTGAAAGAGAAAAGAGAGTAAGAAAGAAAAGATAAAGAGATGGAGAAAAGGAGAAAAAGGGAGGAAAATGAAGAAGATGAAGGGAGAAAGGGAAGAGGGCAGAGGGGAGCTAGCTGTCAGTCAGGATGATTTACATAAGCACTTAGAGAGGATTTGCTGCGTGCCTATCCTCTAAGCGTATCTCCTGTATTCACTCACTTATCTTCATGAAGCCTTATGTAATCATGGTACACGTTTTACAACTGAAATGGCGGCTCAGAAAGATGAAATCACAAGCCCAGGCTCATTAGAGTGTCAGAGGTGGAGTCTGAATGCCTGAGTCCATGAACCTGACCTCTGTACTGGGGAAGACTCTCCTCCAGTCTCATGACAGGTGGATCCTTCCAGTGGCTGGTCATCCTGTGGCACTTGGAAAAGACAGAGCTCTCAAATGCAGCTTTAAAAGCTCATCTTTAATAGTAAACATGAATGCCCTTGTCAAGAAATTCCAGTGGACTCTCATATGAACATGTGAAAATTTCCCTGTTCTGACTTTTTTCTAGTTCCCTGTCTAGAACTTGTGATGCTAATTACTCTTGCCTTTACTTCTCCTTCACGTCTCCTATTCAAAGACTTTCTTTTCCTCCTTAAGATAAGAGTTCTGCAATTTGGGAGTCTTTTAGATAGACCCACTGAAGGGGAACTCCAATTGCCTCACCTTGTGTCCCTGTTCAGCATGGAAGAAGCCAGAGTGGTCTGTGTCCTGATTCCCTATTGGCAATTTGGGTAACCTCTTCAGAGGATGGTGTGATAAGAACAGGAGGTAGGAATTGGCTAGGCAGTTAGGGTAAAAAGACCCCAAAGAAAAGTAGCCAGTTTCTTGGCTAAAATTCACAATGTCCTTGGGCCTCTTAGCAACCTACTCCATTCCAAAGGCCAAAAATGTTTAAAATATTTGGGAGCTTTTATCTTATTCTTAAAAGATTAGGGTTACCTCTTCAGAAGGGGGAATGTTAGAGTAGCCAAAACCCCCACTAAAAAAAATTTAAAGAAGAAAAAGTACATGAAGTTATCAGAAAAAAAGTGATGGGGAGAAATGGGAGGAGTTGGAGGGGAGGGAGTGGGCATGAATTTGATCAAAACACCTATATGCATGTATGAAATTCTCAATAAATTTTTTTGTCTTTTTGAAGCAGGGTCTCCCTGTAGCCCCAGCTGTCCTGGAACTCACTATGTAGACCAGGCTGGCCTTGAACTCATGGAGATCCGCCTGCCTCTGCCTCCCAAGTGCTGGGACTACAGGTGTGCGCCACCACACCCAGCTCAATAATTTTAAAAAAATAAAATAAACTGCCAGGCGTGGTGGCACACGCCTTTAATCCCAGCACTTGGGAAGCAGAGGCAGGTGGATCTCCGTGAGTTCAAGTGAGTTCCAGGGCAGCTGGGGCTACAGGGAGACACTTTCTTTTCAAAAAAGACTACAAAACAAAGAAGAGTGCTGGGAAGGGTATGTGTTAGTGTTTATAGTTAAGATGAGGCCCGGGAGTGGTGGCACAGCCTTCAATCCTAGCTCAGGCGGCAGAGGAAGGCAGGTCTCTGTGAGGTCCAGATGAGACTGGTCTGCATAGTAAGTTTCAGGCCAGCCAAGGCTACATAGTGAGACCCTGTCTCAAAAATAAAAGGTTAAGATGGGGTTGGGGCACGGCACAGCAGTGAAGTGCCTGTTTAGAATCCCCCAGTGAGGGGCTGGGGACGTGGCTCAGTGGTAAAGCTCCTGTCTAGAGTTCTTTGGCTCAGTGGTAAAGCTCCTGTCTAGAGTTCTTCAGTGAGGGGCTGGGGATGTGGCTATGGTAAGGTACCTGTCTAGAATCCAGTGAGGGGCTGCAGGCAGGCATGGCTCAGTGGTAAAGCACCTGCCCAGATTCCCCAGTGAGGGGCTGGGGGTGTTGTTCAGTGGTAGAGCTCTTGCCTAGAATCCTCCAGTAAAGGGATGGGAGCATGGCTCAGTGGTAGAAAGCCTGTCTAGAATCATCCAGTGAGGACCTGGGCTGGTTCGGTGGTAGAATGCTGGCTTAGTATGCATAAGGCCCTTGGTTCCATCTCTAGCAATATGAGAAAACAAGGTATTACATTTGTGTTAATATATTTTACCCCAATAATTAAAACAAAAGGTTGGTTTTAAATGTATAGACAAGATTCTGGAGAAATCCTGTTCCAAACCCAAGTCCACATTCTTGTTCTGTCAAGCCTCCAAATTCCAATGATTTGCTTCTGGGAATGTGCTGAGACAGAAGGCAGGACTGACTTTGTGTTTCTCTTGGCATGGCAGCAGCTGAGGGCTTCTTGTTCCCATTCCTCAGGCTATATATAGTGCTGGGAGCCAGCAGCCAGCAAGAGAAGGCCTCTGGGCTGTCACATGGGGTGGCTCAGATGGGGACAAAGTGGGGTGTGGCAGAGGAGCAGTGAGGTCCCCGTGTGATTGGTAGTCCTTGTACCTTAGCTGTGCACATGGATGTCCCCAGTCAGGCTCAGGGACTCTGGCCAAATGACATGATACCTTGGTCCTATTGAAACTTACCGAAACCTTCTTGGGAATCCCAAGAGGGCGGGAACAATTATTTGTAGCCTCGCAAGTGGGTAAACTGAGGCCCAGGAGGGCAAAACCACATGTTCATTGCCCTGTTGGGGATTCACGGAGTCTCCCATAAAGGTATGTCTAGGTCAGAAGTCCTGGAGCCTGTGAATTACACCCAGAGTCTCTGCAGGTATCCCCAGGTGAAGATGAGGTGGGGGCTCTCAGTATCTGGCTGATGTCATTATATAAAGGGGCAGTCAGGACACACAGACTCATATGGATGGCCAAGGCCATGGAAAGGCGGGGAAGGAAAATTATCAGCCACCCTAAGCTAGCAAAAAGGCCAGAAAGGATTCAGGGTCTCTGAGGGATCATGGCGTTGCTGACATTTGGATTTTGGCTTCCATAACTAGGACATATTAAGTTTCTGTTGCTTTAAGCCACTGAGCTTGTTGGGAAGAGGGGTAGGGGAAAGGAAAGCCCTTCAGAGACACACCCCTAGTGACCTGCTTCCTACACCCAGGCCCTGACCCTCATCTAGGTGTGAGTTCATCCATGGATGAAACCCTTGAAGTGACAGCATCCTCAGGACCAGCTTCTCAGCAGGGGCCATGCCCTCAATACATCATCGGCAACATTACAAGCAAATGATAACAGGAGTGTCTTTCTTTTCTTGTTGCTGTGATAAAAACACCTTGAGAAAAGCAACTTAGGGGAGAAAGGATTTGTTTCAGCTCAGTTCAATGCTACAGTCCATCATGGTGTGGGGAAGTCAAGGCAGCAGGAGCTGGAAGCAGCTGGTCACATTGCATCCACACTCAGGAAGCAGAGAGTGATGAGTGCTTGTGCTCAGTCTCTTTCTCTTCTTCATGCAGTCCAACATCCCAATCTAGGGAATGGTGCTACCCACAGTGGATGGGTCTTTCTACCTCAATGAACCTAATCAAGATATTCCCTAACAGGCATAGCCAGAGGACGACCTAACCTAGATGATCCTTCAGAGCTGTTCCTGGAGGCCTATCTCCTGCGTGATTCCAGATTGACACAACTCACTGTCATGTCCGTGTTCCCATATGTAACCCCAATAAACTCACTGGGTTGTCAAGTTGGACTTGGGTGGAACAGCTACTCCGGTCTGTCATTCATTCTCTATCTGGGGTGAGTAGATGCCTGTGTCTCCCCAGGAAAAGTGAGGATAGCACATCACACAGGGTGTGGGCGGTACAGTTGGGCTACTCTAGCACCCTGTTTTCTGTTTTCCTTATTTGCATTTCTTGTTGCACTTCACTTGGCTGATAAGAATTGGTCCCCAAGAGCCTAAAGGCTGGGGGAAGATTCTGAGTCATCCACAATGGCACTGAGTCCTAGCGTGGCCCTGGCACTTAGCAAGCATTTGGTAAGTACCCATCAGACAGATTAATGGCTGAGTCCCAGCAAAATCCTTAGGTGCTTTTTGCCTTATGGCTTATTTCTCTCAAACTTTTTTTGAGCCTGGCTCATTCATAAAATATACAGATAGATATAGATATAGATATAGATATAGATATAG